GCTTGGCAACCGGAGAGAGAAAAAAGACAGATGGGTTTGAAGATCTACCAGCTGCCGGCTCCCATTCAAAACCCAATTCCCCCTCCTCACACGCACACCCTCTTTTTTTTTTAATTTGGTCGCTCCCCCTGGCTCTTAATGCAATAATCTCTTAATAACAAGAATTCCAGAATTGCTGCTAGGGTAAAAAGAATCCCAACCGGAGGGAAAAGGGGAAGGGAAAGGGAGAGATGGAGAAATGAAAGGATGGGGAGAAGGGAAGAGAGAAGAGGAAGAGAGGGGGGAAGGGAAGGGAAGTGGAAAGGAAAGGGAAGGGAAAGAGGAAAGAGAAGGGAAGGGAAGGAGGAGGAAAAAAGGAAAGGAAAGGAAAGGGAAGGAAAGGAAAGAAGGAAGGAAAGGAAAGGGAAGTGGAAAAGGAAGGGAAGGGAAGAAGGAAAGAAAGGGAAGGAAAGGAAAGAAGGAAAGGGAAGGGAAGGGGAAAGGGAAGGGAAGGGAAGAGAAGGGAAGGAAAGAAGGAAAGAGAAGGGAAGGGAAGTGGAAAAGGAAGGGAAGGGAAGAAGGAAAGGGAAGGAAGAAAAGGAAAGAAGGAAAGAGAAGGGAAGGGAAAGGAAAGGGAAGGAAGGAAAGAAGGAAAGGGAAGGAAAGGAAAGAAAGAAGGAAAGAGAAGGAAAGGGAAGTGGAAAAGGAAGGGAAGGGAAGAAGGAAAGGGAAGGAAAGGAAAGAAGGAAGAGAAGGGAAGGGGAAAGGGAAAGGGAAGGGAAGGAAAGAAGGAAAGAGAAGGAAAGGGAAGAAGGAAAGGGAAGGGAAGGGAAGGGAAGGCGAGTCCTGACCATCATTTTGCATACAAACAGAAAAGACCAATAATGGTTTCTTACACACACACACACACACACACACATACTGCCAAGGGAAGCACCCCGCCAAGGGGTGAAGAGCTCAAGCGATGCTGAGAAAGGCCAACGTTAACTGGGAGGGAAACGCAGGAGAAGCAGGGCAGCAAAAGGGCAGGCTCGGACCAAACCTTTTCCGCCTCCGATGGCAGCATCTTTTTCCGCTGATTCATGGCAAGCCAAGCAACCCCGTCTCGCTTGCCAGGGAGTTGCCACGGATGACTTTGGAGCCCAGCGGCCTTTTTCGTTGGGAAGTCACGGAGAGAGAAATTCAAAACCAGCCTTGGAGGTCTGGGAAAGAAGCAGCGGATCGATCGTCCCTCCCCATCCCAGAAGGTACGAAGAGAAGGAGAAATTCAGAAATTCAAGATCACCGTAGTAGGTTCGAGCTCTGGCGGCTTAATTTAACTCGTGGCTGTGCCAACTCTTATTTCCTTCGGCTTCCTCCGAGGAGACACGACGGATGCCATCGGGCGAAGGACACCGGAGAAGGATCGCCTACAGCTAGTCCTCGACTTAACGACCGCAACGGAGCCCAAAACTTTGTCTCGTTAAGCGAGACGTTGGTTCAGCGAGTTTCGCAACCGTTTTGCCGCCTTTCGTTAAGCGAATCCCTGCAGCTGATCAGTGAGTCGCCCGGTTGTTAAGTGAATCTGGCTTCCCCGTTGACATCGCTCGTCGGAAGGTCGCAAATGGGGGAATTGCGCGGGACACTGCCAACCGTCGTAAATACGAACCAGTGGCCAAGTGTCTGAATTTGCACGCGTGCCCGTGGCTTAGAAAACGGGGGTAAATAGGATGGCAGAGCACCTGGTTGTTTATGCATTACTGCAGCTTATTTTGGGCAAGGCAACATCTGGAATCTATATAAAAACTTATTTCTAAAAAAAAAAAAAGAGGGGCGACAGGAAGACGAAAAGGACCCCGTTTTATTAACAACAACAAACGGCTCCCCTTTTTACCGCCGGCAATGTTGGCAAAATGCATTTATCCTTTCGGCTGCTTCTTATTTTTGCCCTTGCAATTTGATAGTCTCTGCGCTCCGTGTTTTCCCACTTACTAGCTATTAGCGGTAATCACTCTAAATTAATTAAGGCAGCTCCCTTCCTCCAAGCCTGTGAATGGAATTGAAATTAATTGTCGGCAAATATCACTAGGAATTCCTGCCTGATCTTTTGGTGGGTTATCAATTTATGCCTCGGAGGGAGACGTTTAATTATCTTCAAATGTTATATATGGGGTGCTGGGTCTCAGCCGGCTTCTACTCAAGTTTGACTCTGTAGTAGGAGGCGGAAAGCGTGAGGGAGGGGGATCCTTTAATTCCCGTCTACATACACACACTTTCAATTTAAACCTCTTCTCCAAAGAACCCCGGGGAAGGACAAGAAGGAACGGATGGAAAATTATCAGAAAAAAAATCCAATCTAGAACTATGGCGACGTTTCCTAAGAATATGAAGAACTAACCAGTGGAACTCCTTGCCTCCAGAAGTTGTGGCTGCTCCATCACTGGAGGTTTTTAAAAAGAGACTAGACAGCCACTTGTCTGAAATGGTATAGTTTCCCCTGCTTGAGCAGGAAGCTGGACTAGAAGACCTCCAAGGTCCCTTCCAGTTTTACTCTACTCTACTCTACTCTACTCTACTCTACTCTAATTCTATTTTATTCTTCTACTCTACTCTATATTCTATTCTATTCTATTCTATTCTATTCTATTCTATTCTATTCTATTATGTTCTGTTCTATTCTATTCTATTCTATTTTATTCTTCTACTCTACTCTATATTCTATTCTATTCTATTATGTTCTGTTCTATTCTATTCTATTCTATTCTTCTATTCTATTCTTCTATTCTATTCTTCTACTCTACTCTATATTCTATTCTATTCTATTCTATTCTATTCTATTCTATTCTATTCTATTCTATTCTTTACTCTATATTCTATTCTATTCTATTCTATTCTATTCTATTATGTTCTGTTCTATTCTATTCTATTCTATTCTATTCTTCTATTCTATTCTTCTACTCTATATTCTATTCTATTCTATTCTATTATGTTCTGTTCTGTTCTATTCTATTCTATTCTTCTATTCTACTCTATATTCTATTATTCTATTCTATCTATTCTTTACTCTATATTCTATTCTATTCTATTCTATTATGTTCTGTTCTGTTCTGTTATGTTCTATTCTACTCTACTCTACTCTACTCTACTCTACTCTACTCTACTCTACTCTAGAAGAGAAGAGAAGAGAAGAAAGAGAAAAGAAGAGAAGATTGGAATAAATAAATAAATAAATAGAATAGAATAGAATAGAACGTAGATAGAATAGAATAGAATAGAATAGAATAGAATAGAATAGAATAGAATAGAGAGTTGGAAGGGACCTTGGAGGTCTTCTAGTCCAACCCCCTGCTTAGGCAGGAAACCCTGCACCACTTCAGACAAATGCTTGTCCATTCGTAAGTCCTTCCATCCCCTCTGCCAGATACGATTTGGTGAAAAATTTCCCCCCCAAATTTCTTGCCAAGAGAAGAAACAGAAAACACCTGTTTTACTTGGCACATTTTGTGTATTTAAAATATGGACCTGACCCCCTTTCAACCAAAATGCTAAACTCGGTTAAAAGAAAGTTTGGTAGTTTTTTGTTTGTTTGTTTGTTTATCATGTGAGAACACAGCCGTATGAGGTTGCGTGAAGCAGGCCGCTACATTAAGTTGTAACCCCGGCGCATTTATTTTGCTTATTGTCACCCTGCGTGTAGCTCTTGACGGTTGTGTCTGGCAAAAGCCACATCGAATATTTATTATGCTGCGTTAATCCAGCTTTGAAATAAAAGCAGTTTGTAGAGAAATGGGGGCTTAAAAAGGCAGCAGCTGAGTCATGTTGGAGGCCGCAAGGATTATGGCGCACGTGCGTCCATGCGCGTAGCTGTTGTCTGATTGTTTTTGTTGCTTTTCTCAAAAATGTGCTTTCAGCTGCTTGTGGGTTACGTCAAGGACAATAAATTCATGATTGTGGTTTGTTCCTTTTTCCATGCACACCGCGATCTCCTAGCTTTTGCATTCCGAACAGATGCCTGCTTTACAAAAATAAATAAAGAAATAAATTCGACGGCTAAGCTATTAATAACAATTTTACTTAAAATATACAGGGAAGGAGGGCAGTGGCGGGATTCAAATAATTTAACAACCGGTTAATGATTTCTTCCAAGAACCAGTTCGCCAAACTGCTCAGAAAGTTAACAAACCGGTTCTCCCGAAGTGGTGCGAACCGGCTGAATCCCACCGCTGGAGGAGGGGAGTCGGAGCTGGCAAGCTCCTTCTCCTTTCGTGATGTTGAAAATTAAAAAAAAATACCCCCCCTTTTTTTTAAGCAGACCAATCCGCTGATTAAAGCGATTTCTTTGAACCAGGGGTGAACCAGGTTTTAAAAGCCGCTGAGATCAGGCAACTCAGCTGGGATCGTCAGAGGCTTTTAAAGGCATTTTTTTCCCCTACAACCTCTTCGGCCGAAGAGGTTGTAGAAAAAATGCTTTTAAAAGCCTCTGACGATCCCAGCTGAGCCGTGTGATCATCAAAGCCTTTTTTTTAACTTTTAAAAGCGTTTTTTTCAGCCAAAGAGGTTGTAGAAAAAATGCTTTTAAAAGCCTCTGACGATCCCAGCTGAGCTGCGCGATCATCAAAGCCTTTTTTTTTACTTTTAAAAGCATTTTTTTCAACCGAAGAGGTTGTAGAAAATTGCTTTTAAAAATTAAAAAAACAGCCTCTGATGATCGCGCGGCTCAGCTGGGCATGAGGGGGGGCAGAGATTTTTGCTACCGGTTCTCCAAACCACTGCCGCCATCGCTACCGGATCGGGCGATCCGGTCCGAACCGGGAGCATTTCACCCCTGCTCCAAGGTCTCTTCCAACCCCTATTGTCCTATGTTCTAAGCTCTTCCGATCTTCCCTTTCTTTTCCTCTCATTTTCCTCTCCTCTTATCGTTCATTCTGTAACTTCTGGGTTGTTCTTGTGCAGACCTCCAAGGTCTCTTCTAACCCTATTGTTCTTCATTCTAACCTCCCTGTCTTCTCCTCTCATTCTCCTCCTTCTTCTTCTTCCTCCAGGAAAACCCGTACTTGTGCAGCGACGAGTGTGATGCTTCCAATCCAGACCTGGCCCATCCTCCCAAGCTGATGTTCGATAAAGAAGATGAAGGCCTGGCTACCTACTGGCAGAGCGTGACCTGGAGCCGTTATCCCAAGCCTTTGTTGGCCAACATCACCTTGTCTTGGAACAAGACCATCGAGCTGACCGACGACGTCGTGTTGACTTTTGAGTACGGCCGTCCCACCAAGATGATCTTGGAGAAGTCCTTGGACAACGGGAGGACTTGGCACCCCTACCAGTACTACGCGGATGAATGTAACGAAGCTTTCGGCATGCCGGCGCGGAAAGTGAGGGAGCTGTCCACCACCAACGTCAACAGAGTCATCTGCACGGAGGAATATTCCCGTTGGGTGGGGTCCAAGAAAGAGAAGGACGTGAGATTCGAGGTGAAGGACCGTTTCGCCATTTTTGCCGGACCCGAACTTCGAAACATGGACAATCTTTACACCAGGCTGGAAAGCGCCAAGGGCCTGAAGGATTTCTTCACCGTGACGGATTTGAGGATGCGGCTTTTGAAACCGGCGCTCGGCGGCACCTACGTCCAGAGAGAGAACTTGTACAAGTACTTCTACGCCATCTCCAATATTGAAGTCACAGGCAGGTAATCGGAGCCGTGCTTTCTTTGCTTTGCTTTTTCTCTTTTTCCCCCCGTTTTTAATTCGTCCGTCCTTGGCACCTTTTGGGTACCCGACCGGCCAAGCTGTCAGGATGCATCTCCCGGAAAAGGCTCGCTCGGTTCAGAACAGGAAAAAGGGCGTCAGACGTCTTGTGGCATTTTTCTCTTTAAACAAACAAACAAAAACCCTTTTTATTTGATGGAAAAGAAATTGCTTCTGGGGTAGTTGGGTTTTTGTTTTGTTTTTCGCTAAAAGAAAACAACATTTTGATGAAATTCTCCAGAGTGAAATGTTGCTTTATTGTACTTACTTAGCGACAAGAAAGCGAAGCGGTGAATATGAATGATTGTTCTTTCGTTTACAATCCTTTCCTTTTACTTCAATGGTTGTTTTCCTTCCTTCCTTCCTTCCTTCCTTCCTTCCTTCCTTCCTTCCTTCCTTCCTTTTCCTTTCTTTCTTCAACCTGCCCTCCTTCCTTCTTTTATCCCCTTCCTCCCTCCCTCCCTCCCTCTTCTTCCTTCCTTCCTTCCTCTTTCCTTTCTTTCTTTCTTCAACCCACCCTCACCTCTTGTTCTGCCTGGCACAAGAAAGTTTGCAGTCGGGCGGATTGTGGTGCGACTATGAGTCTCTCCTTTAAAGGACATATTATTTTTATTCCTCCTTTCTCCTCTCCTCCTATGCCAGTCCTTCCATCCTGCCCCTATTGATCTAATAAGTAACAGGAGGAGGTGCCAGGCTGCGACAGGAATAGAAACCAGAAAGTCCGTCTTTGGTGAGCAAGGGCTGGCACGTCACAGCAGAATGGAGGAATCCGAGGTGATGGGGAAGGAAAACTAGTTTTATTGGAATCGCGACAGCTATGGGAGAGGAAGGAAAGAGAGAGAAAGGAAAGAAGGAAGGAAGGAAGGAAGGAAGGAAGGAAGGAAGGAAGGAAGGAAGGAAGGAAGGAGGCAGAGAGTTAAGGAAGGAAGGGAGGGAGAGAGGCAGGGAGGGAAGGAAGGAAGGAAGGAAGGAAGGAGGCAGAAAGTTAAGGAAGGAAGGAAGGAAGGAGGCAGAAAAGGAGGGAAGGAAGGCAGAGAGGGAAGGAAGGAAAGAAGGAAGGAAGGAAGAAGGAGGCAGAGAAGAAAGAAAGAAAGGAAGGAAGGAAGAAAGGAAGGAAGGAAGGACGGACAGAAGGACGATCTTTTCAATCTCTTTTCTTCTCGCTTTGCATAGGGAGCATCTGAAGCAGGAAAGATCAGAAGAGACATCTTCGCTGGTCAATCTAATTTTCTCCTTTATTTAACAGCCGGGAGATCTTGAAGTTGTCTGGATAGACAGAGTGAAATTGAAGTTAATGACATGAGCATTGAGCTGAAGGCTCCCATTATGAGCCATCCAATTAAGGAGATGCATATAAATTACGGACTAATTATTAAGTTTCCTCACTTTGCCTAAAAGTATTTGCATGTTCTCTGTACCTTGCAATGTTTTCCTTCTTAATTTAATTTCCTTCTTTCCTATCAACTTATCAACTTCTATTATCCAGGGTTTCAAGACAGTAGATTTGATTTCTGGAGCACAAAACCTTCCTTCCTTCTTTCCTTCCTTCCTTCCTTCCATCTTCCTTCTTTCTTTTCTCTCTCTCTTTCCTTCCCTCCCTCCCTCCCTCCCTCCTTTTTGATACACATCTTTTTCACAACTAACCATCATCATAAACCCCCAAACTAATTCAGAAACAGGATCGGAAAAAGAGAAGGAAGGAAGGAAGGAAGGAAGGAAGGAAGGTTGGTTCTGTGCTCCAGAAATCAACTCTACTGTCTTGAAATCCTGGATAATGGAAGTTGATATGCATATGGATTTGAAGAATGAACTACTAAATCTTCCTCTTTTCACCTTGATTTTAGTTTTAGAGCAGAGTACATTTTAGAGAGCGTAGAAAAGGGAGGTGCCATATCACCCCAGTAGCCTCCAAGCTGGAAGGAAGCAGTGAGTTGGAACAGCGTTTGAGGATGTTTGGACTCCTCTTCCCAGAATTCCATGCTGGTTGGGGAATTCTGGGAGTTGCAGTCCACCCGTTTTAAGGCTGCTCGTAGTAGGAACAATCTCCTACGCGTGGCATCCTTTGCTAACCAGGCTGGCAAGGCAGAAGGACCTGCGAAAGGATTGATTTTCAACGATCTCTTATCGCTTCCCATAAATAGATTTATGGTTACAGCATCTTTGAAAACCTTCCCATAACTCCTGTGAATTAAACGTGGGCTCTATTTATAGCTAAACCGAGGTTCAGATTTTCACATTGCTTGTCTTCTACCCGTGTGACGGAGCGGGCTGGAAGCCAACCTCCTTCGGGTGGGCGCAACGTTTTCCATCTGTCTCTGGCTCTCGTAATGGGCTGACTTGGTATTACGCCTTTTTTTTTTAAACTTTTGACTGTGTGAAAGCAAGCTCTCGATTCCACAAAGAATTTCACCCCGTAAAAAGGAAAAGGAAAAGGGGTGGTGGTGGTGGGGGAAAACGGGGGATGAGATAAAGGGAATCCACCAGGAAATTAAAAACCTGAAAATACATCCAGGGATGTGTTTGTTTGTGCTAGTCCTTGATGCTCTCTGAGCTTGGGCTGTTTTCTGCAGACATTTCACTACCCAACTAGGTAACATCATCAGTGCTAGAAGGGAGTAGGGTTTGTGGAGGAGGGGGAAGATTGGTGCTCTCTGAGCTTGGTGTTTTTCTTGCAGATATTTCATGGCCCGACTAGCGTGGGGACTCCTGGGAGGGGCGGGGTAGGCAGGGCCAGCCAGGAGTGGGATTTATGGGTTCTCCGAACTGCACAGAATAGAATTTTATTGGCCAAGTGTGATTGGACACACAAGGAATTTGGCGCATACACTCTCGATGTATATAAAATAAAAGATACGTTCATCAAGAATCATCAGGTACTTAATGATAGTCATAGGGTACAAATAAGCAATCAGGAAACAATATCAATATAAATCTTAAGGATACCAGCAACTAGATTACAGTCATACAGTCATAAGTGGGAGGAGATGGGTGATAGGAAGGATGAGAAGATTAATAGTAGTGCAGGCTTAGTAAATAGTTTGACAGTGTTGAGGGAATTATTTGTTGAGCAGAGTGAATCTTAGCTAGAGGTTCTACCGAACCCTCAGCAGCTCACCCCTGCTCTAAAATGATCACCTCTCCCCTCCTTTAATGTGTAACATCCCGAACGTGACATGTTTCTCCAGATGTGACTTGATGAGAAAAAGAGAGGCGGCTCAGGTGTTAGGGGGCAAGTCCCAAAGCTTATTAACATTCTGAAATGAGTCTTCGTTAGAACAGTGATGGGGGGAAAAGGATGGGGGGGAAAAATGAGTTAATATTTTATCTCTTATATAACCTGGAAAACACAGAGTGTTTTTTGTTTCATCTTGTCTGCTGGTTGTGTGTGATATTTCTTTCCCACCACCTCCCCCCATGTCATCTTTGCTACCGATCTGTCGGGAACGGTAGATTATAGTTCGTTCTTATAGTGAAGCAAAATACGGATGGGCTGCGAAGGGATCAACTCTCGAGTGTCGAACAGGCCCCCGCGCAACGGCGAGGAATTGTCTGATCGTTACTTAAATATGCATTGATTATTTGATTTGGAACAGCAATTATCTGTGTAAGAGACGGTGGACTCCCAAGGAGGTTGTCAAGTACAGGGAGATAATGGAACAGCGGAACAAGGGGACAGCGCAACGAGACGGAACGAAAGCGGTTAAGGGAGGGAGGCGGACATCCAGGCCAGCTTTGTCTGACCGTGCATGCTTCACGCCAAGCTCCAGATCAGGGATGCTTGAGCTGTAATTTAAGGAGGCCGGGCCGAAGGCGGAGAAGGTAGAAAGAACCTCATTTAAGGAGGAGAGGGTTGATGGTTCCAGCTGGAGAGGATCATTTCAGATGGGGGCCACGGTAGCGGACAAAACAAAATTGGAACTGGATTTGGGGGCTGTAGCATTTGCTGGCTGTGAGGTTGTTCCCAAATTCCATGATCTGAGGTGGCTGATTTAGTACAGAGTGATCAATTAAATCTTGGTTGACTAAGATCTCATGAGGTTTTGGACCTCACAATTGGTTGTCGTTGCAGAGAAGTCCTCTAATTAAAAATTCCTTGCCATTCATCCATCCATCCATCCATCCATCCATCATCTTATCTCTAATCTATCCTGTAATCCATCTATCCATCCATCCCCATCCATCCATCCATCCATCCATCCATCCATCCATCCATCCATCCATCATCTTATCTCTAATCTATCTGTAATCCATCTATCCACCATCCCCATCCATCCATCCATCCATCCATCCATCCATCCATCCATCTATCTATCTATCTATCTATCTATCTATCTTCCAGCCAGCGTGGAATTAAATCCTAAACAAGCAAAGTCCATTGTCTCCAAAACAAACTGGCAAAATTGACGCGGTGGTTCTCGTCTATATAAACGCACATCATTTGCATAACTGCACGACGACACAATTAAATATTTGGCGTAATTAGAAAACAGGCATAAAAATGTCAATCGTGTAATTACAAAATGGATGCAGTTTTGCACGTGGCATAAATTTTGTCAGTTCTCCCCGGGATAATCCGTCCGCCCCAAATTGTCGATTAAAGGAAGGTTTCATTGAATTTCTATACATTTTGTCTTCTCTGGATAACCTGTTTCCCCTCGTCCTTGGAACATCTCTCAGGATTTTGACCCAACCCATGGCAACATTAATTTGCGGTTCATATAATTTGCTGTTCATGGATTTGCTGTCAATGAATTATTTGCTTGCCTGCTTAACTTTTTAAGAGAGCAGCTTGCTGATTTCGTTCTTTTGTTTAGATCTGGCTGTTTGGGAAGGCATGAAATAGTGACCCCCACGTACACACCTGTTTCCAAAAAAAACACAATTTCAAAGGTACATGCAGCTATTTCAGACATGGCTGATCTCCTCGTCCTTAGAGGATAATGGAATTAACAGATCCAGTTGGAAAGGATCTTTAGAGGTCTTCTAGAGTAGCAGTCACCAACTGGTGGTCCGTGAGAAAATTTTGGTGGTCCGCAGAAAAATTATTTGCGTTTTTTATATTGCAGTAAATCAGGGGTCCTCAAACTACGGCCCCTGGGCCAGATATGTGCAATGAACGTTTGTGTTGCTGCAGAGAGTCTCCCCCTTCGGGGTCTTTTTGTGTGGGTCGGAGTGGGCGTGGCTTGGTGGGCGTGGCAGGGAAAGAATACTGCAAAATCTCCATTCCCACCCCACTCCAGGGGAAGGATATTGCAAAATCCCCTTTCCCCCCCTCACTCTGGGGCCAGCCAGAGGTGGTATTTTGCCGGTTCTCCGAACTACTCAAATTTTCCACTACCGGTTCTCCAGAACCTGTCAGAACCTGTTGGATTTCACCCCTGTTCTAAGGTCTTATAAAACAGTGCTAATACTTCGCGGGATTTTGATTCTATGCCTCTGTTTATACAACCGAGGATTGTATTAGCCTTTTTGCGCAGCTGCCGCACGCGGCTGGCTCATATTTAAGCGATTGTCCAATAGGACTGCCAAGATCCCTCTTCGCAGGGTCTATGATTTCGCCAGGATTTTTTCCCTAATCTGTACCTCTTAGTTTTCAGACAAATCCTGGCTTTTAGTTCCCGAGAGTTGGTGCCTTCATTCAAATGCGGGGCTCTGCTTTGGATGTTCTGCTACTTAATGATTTCTGAATGCCTTTCTGTTTTAATATTTCTGTGATGCCAGCGCAAGCCTGCTTTGAGGATTTCAACACGAAAGAGCCTGGCATACATTTTTAAATACCTCTGCAGATAGCCCAGAGGGTCACACCTCATTGCTCTCTTCTGTTTCCCCTGCAGGTGTAAATGTAATCTCCATGCCAACCAGTGCATTTTCAAGGAAGGAAGTCTCCAGTGTGAATGTGAACATAACACAACGGGACAGGACTGTGGCAGATGTAAGAAGAATTTCCGCAGCAAGTCTTGGAGAGCTGGATCCTACCTTCCCCGTCCCAACGGGTCTCCTAACGTGTGTAAGTATGGCAGAGAAGACAGCTGCGAGCTGAAGTCCCCCCACCAGAAGGAGAAGCATCTTCTCCTTGAGGTGTAGCATCATCTCAACCACCAAAAGCCAACGCAGTTCCATGGGAAGCCTGCAGAGATGGAGACAGGGAAGTAGAAAAGTCTAGAAAAGGACTCGTCCCGGAAATGATCCACTGAAACCTTGAGCAGAAAGAATGGAAGCGCTATTGGTTGGTCAATTCCGTGCACGTCAATTTCCATTCATCCTCCAAAACAGGGAATGAATCTAGGTGGATGGAAACTAACCAAGGAGAGAAGCAACCTAGAACTAAGGAGATATTTCTTGACAATCCGTAGGACGGCTTGTGGGTGCTCCAACACTGGAGGTTTTCAAGAAGAGATTGGGCAACCATTTCTCTGCGGTGGTTTATAGGGTTTCCTGCCTACGCAGGGGGTTGGACTAGAAGACCTCCAGGGTCCCTTCCAACTCTGTTATTCGTAATAGTTTCCATCTATTGTTTCTCGCCCTGCCTCCAGGTGCTTTGGAGAATAGGTGGATCCCCTTTTCTTTGTGGTAGCCCCCTTAGATAGCAGTCTTTTTAATTAATTGATCGATTGATTACATTTTTATGCCGCCCCATCTGCCCTACAAGCAGACTCTGGGCGGCATAATTAGCCTCCTGTCTGGCGCCCTATCCTTCTTGACCGCCTCCTTCTTTTCTTTCTTCTCTTCCAGGTGCGGCTCCAAATTTTGGCAGTAAGTAAAACGAAACAAAATTTTTAAAAAAGACCCCAAAAAGAAGGAGACACCTCCCGCTCCCCCCCAAAAAAAACGCCAACCCACTTTGAAATGCGGAGAGGCTCGCTGGCACGGTCCCGGCGGATGCTGTTTGATGGCAAAAAAAGGAGCTTTTTAAAAATTTTTATTATTTTTCCCCCCTTCCATCTTTTTTTTTTTTTTTCCCGGTCTCCGTTAACATCTGTCCAAGCAGAAGTCTGCTTCTCTAATTGTGCCTCGTCTCCCTGCCTGTCAAACATCTCTCTTTGAGTACGGTCGGAAACTTCATTGTCTTTGTCGTGCTGGTGTGTTCTTTTTTCCCCCAAGAGGTTTGTTAGCAAGGCGTAGAGGAAGGAAATAAAGTGTTTTTCGAAGAATGCTAGGGAGGGAGGGAGGGAGGGGGAGAGAGAGAGAGAGAGAGGGATGGCTGTTTTCCCCCATCTCCGTCTTAAGAGCCTCGCAGGCAGTAAATTAAACTCTTATAAATCAGAGAGACTGCTTTCGATGGCTGAAGTCCACGGGGGATTTTCTTAGGCTGAGAGGTGTGTGATACTTAGGAATGAACCTGCAGCGTGATACAGAGAGTCCTCGCTATACGACCGTCGCGAAGCCTGGCAATCATCATCGTCTTTTAACGACCCCGTAATAATCCCTCGCGGGGTGGAGTCTGGGCAACTGAATGGAGCCAAGGGTTTACTCGCCAGATGCCCTTCCTGTCGCCAACGCGGAGTTTTGTTCTGCGGATATATATTCTCATCGTGCCCCGAGAGAGAAATATCTGTCTCTACCTAGGATCGAACTCACAGCCTCCTGGTTGTGGGGCGAGAGCGCCACCTCTAGGCCACTGCACCACTGTCATGAAGGCTGGCAATGACGGTCATAAATTGCAAAAATAGATAAAAAGCAGGTTCTGTTGACTGAATCGTCTCAACCTTTAGAGATTTAAGGTTTAAGTTATCCAAATATTAGTGTCTTCATATTCTCCAGTCAATACCACTGTACTCAAATCATTATCATCATGATAATAGGCAGGAGATCCAATACAAGTGGTCCTCAACTTACAACAGTCCACTTAGTGTCCGTTCAAAGATACAAGAGCACTGAAAAAGGGGGATTGGCGGCCGTTTTTCACACTTACGACCGCTGCAGCATCCCCGGGATCACGTGATTAAAATTCAGATGCTTGGCACCTGACTCGTATTTATGACGGTTGCAGTGCCCTTCCAGACTTGTGCGATCCCCTTTTGATTGGTGGGGAAGCCAGATTCACTTCACAACCGTGTGACTCACTTAACGACGGCAGTGATTCACTTAACCACGGTGGCGAGAAAGGTCGTAGAGTGAGGCAAAACTCACTGAAATGTCTCACTTAGCAACAGGAATTTTGGGCTCTGTTCTGGTCGTCACTGACTTTGCTTGTTGGGAGGTCGCAAAAAGAGGATCGCCTGACCCCTGGGATAAATACGAGTCAGTTGCCAAGCCTCTGAGTTTGGATCCCGTCCCCACGGGAATGCTGCAACGGTCGTAAGTGTGAAAAACGGGGATGAGTCACTTTTTCCAATGGCGTTGTAACTCCGAACGGTGACTAAACAGACATTTGTAAGTTGAGAGCTATCTGTGTTTCTCTTGCAGAGAGAAACTGCAGCAAAGTTTTCACCAAGTTAACTTTTGGGATGCATTTCCAGTAACAAGGCTTTTTTAATTGGCTGCGGAAAATAATTTGATTGCTGGGGGAAAGGCAATGAAAGGGAAATGAATTCTTCGCATCTCCGGCTAAGTTTCGTTTTGCTTCAAATGTGGCTTGCTGAAAAGACCCAACTGGCTAGATTCGAGAAGGAGGCGGTCGATTAAAATCCTTCGTACCGCCACATTAATTTGCAAATTACGGCGGTCGAGATTATACACCCAATTTAAGCCCGAGAGAAAAAAACAGTGTAGAGCTTGACAGCTACGGGGCTTTGGGGGGGGGGGGGAAACATTTGAAGGTTCCAATGGACTCAATGAAACTTTAATTTATTGGGGCTTTCAAACTAATTTGACAAAGCGAAGGAGCGGCTCCAATTCCTCGCCGCTGGTCGAAGGCGCCCCAAAGTGATTCTTTTGCAGAGGCGCCCGAGTATTTTAAGGTATCGGACTCGGTTGACTCCCATCCCGTCTTCAGATCCAATCGATCATTTTTTTTTTTTTTCAAATCTGTCTGAAACTGTTTGGATGGAATCCGGCTCAGTTCAGGGCTGGGCTTCAAAAATTTTAGCAACTCTGCCAGGTTGCTGAGTGGGCGTGGCCATGGTGGGCGTGGCCTATTCGGCCTCCTGCACCACGGCAGGGGGGCGGTATTTTTGCCCTCCATGGACGGTCCTAAGTGTGAAAAAAAGAGGCCTTAAGTCGCTTTTTTCCCATGCCGTTGCAACTTCGGACAGTCCGTAAACAAACGATTGTTAAGTGGAGGAGAACTGCCTGTAGTAGATGAGCAGATAGATTAGTGGATGAGCCTGTAGTAGATGAGCAGATAGATTAGTGGATTCATTTCCCAAGGCCACAGAAATCGGAGAGGTCTTTCTTAAGGGATTGGCGTTCTGATTTTCTTTCCTTTTATTTTTTTTCCTTTTCCTCTGCCATCTTTATTTCTCTCTGGATAGCAAAGGAGACGCCCAAGCCAGTAACTAACCGTCCAATTATCGTCCTTACAACTAGCATTTCCAAAACCACGATTAGTACCACCTACGCCACGGAATCCTCTTGGGTGCCCACCGCTCCCCTCATTACAACGCAGCAACCAGGTGGGTGCTGAGCCTAGTTTGAGACTCCCACCCCTCCTGAGGTAGACCCAGTAGATATAGCCTAGTTCCGTGCTTCTCTTGCCAGCTTTGGCTTCCTGCTGCCATGATGACCGACGCCGTGTCGGTGAGAGGTAAGGTGAGAAGGTTCTGACCTGCTCTGGCTTGCTAGGCTCTTCCCTTCCTCGTAGGGGGATGGATGGGGAGCCTGGATGTAAAAAAAAATCAGTCTGTTTGCTGGCGCAAGGCTTCCCATGTGTCGGCGGGAGAGCTTGTGCGTTTGCCCAGCTAATTAATGAAAGGGAAGATCATCCGTGGGACGGATCCCATTAATAACGGGCCCCCCCAAGCCCTCCCTGCTGAGTAGCAGGTGCAACGTTCTCCAGGAAGGGCTTCAGAAGCAGTGGAAGAAAGAAGGATGGATGGATAGACAGACAGATAATAGGATAGATAGGGAGGGAGGGAGGGAGAGAGAGACAGAGAGACAGAGATAATAGGATAGAGAGACAGAGACAACAGAGATGGTAGGTAGGTAGGTAGGTAGGTAGGTAGGTAGGTAGGTAGGTAGGTAGATAGATAGATAGACAGAGATAGATAGATTAGATTAGATAGATAGATAGATAGATAGATAGATAGATAGATAGATAGATAGATGATTGATAGACAGACAGACAGACAGACAGATACCGGTAGATAGAGATATATGACAGAGATAGAGATAGATAGATAGAAATGGATAGGTATACTGGGGGGGGGGGCGGGCGGGGAGGAGAGGGAGATATCAATAAAAGAGAATATTTGTAGCTCAGAGTTGGAAGCTTGCAGTCGTTTTCTTGCAGATGTTTCATTACTCAACTAGCTAACTTCATCAGTTCTGTGCATAAACAGTGACTGTATATTACCCAGCTAGACAACATCATCAGTGCTAGAAGGGAGCGGGGTATGGAGGAGGAGGAAGAGGAGAAACGACGACTATGGGATCTTCGGTGGACTCTGAGCTTGTTTTTTTCCTTGGAGACATTTCATTACCCAACTAGGTAACATCATCAGTGCTAGAAGTGTGATTTGCTCCCTCTTTATATACAGTATCTGAGCTTGGTTGTTTTCTGATGTTTCGTAAAACCAACTCAAGACAACAGAAATGGAACCCCCTCTTGCAGAAAAGTTTGTGAGTGGAGGTAATGAGTGGATCACGATCTTTTGATAACTGGAAGTCTTGTCCTTGGCCAAGGTCAAAAATGGAAGCCATTTTGAGAGCATGCCCATCACCTGCTCACTAATTTCCAACGGTGTCATCCAAAATAGATGGGAGAAATCTTCCCTACTATATTCTTCTTCTGTGGGGGGAGATATGTGGAATGTCCATCCAACTCAAGCCATGAGGGTCAAATTGCTCTCAATCAGTATGTAGCATTCCGATTATTCAGAAAGGGAGAGAAGAAAAGACAAGAAGAAGAAGAAAGAAGAAGAAGAAGAAGCATAAAGTTGCTTGAATATGGTATTTATAAAATCTCTTCCCCCCCAGAGATGCCTTTTTTCGAAATAACATACACTACATCAGGCTACCAGCTGTTTTCCAAAGCTTCGGAAAGAAGGCGAAATATAAAAGCGAACACATAAATTACAGCTCAGTCGATAAAATTAATCCTTAACTCTGTTTTTCAACCAATCGCACCTCGACTTCGGTGGTTAAAAAAATGGCCCCTGCCCATTCATCATCTGAAGTGGAATTGATTTATCTACCAGCTAAAGGAGTTACATCTTCCAAGACCCATTAAGTTGCAGGAATTGGCTTCGATATTGCATGCAAATTAGTTTTGATAGATTAGGTGCCATCAAGTTGATATTGAGTCTCAGTAACCACCGAGATAGATTTTCATCGGGATGATCTGTCCCTCGCTGGTCCTTCACATCTTCCTCCAGCATAGCCATCACAACTACAGTTGGTTGTCCTCCTCTTCTTCTCCTTCCTTCTACCTAGCTTCTAGTTGTCCTCTTCTTCTCCTTACTTCCATCTAGTTTCTCGTTGTTTTCTTCTCTTTCCTTCCACCTAGATTCTAGTTGTCCTCTTCTTCTCATTCCTTCCATTTTTCCTAGCATCACCGCCTTCTCCAGAGGGCAGGGTCTTCACTTAATGTGTCCTTAATTGAATAATTCGAGCTTGGCCATTTGTGCTTCTAGTCAAAACTCTGCAATGATTTGTCCGATGAACCATTGGTTTATCGTTTTGGCTGTCCACAGTCTTCTCAGGAGTCTTCTCCAACCTCCCCAAAGCATCTGTTGCCTTCTGATGGGTCTTCAAAACGTAACTTTTGCTACTATGGAATGTCACAGAAAGGCTCGTTCTATTTTGATATTCACGGAAATTATTACTCAGTCCTAACATCTCAGTCTTAACATCTTTTTTTGCATTGTGGCGACCAGAACTGGGCGCCATTTCCCAAAATGTGGCCTCACCAGTGCAGCATAAAGTGGTGCTATCCCTTCTCATGATCTTGATCAGTGGTGAAATCGGAACCGGTTTACTATCGGTTTGCTGGCTGCATGCGCAGTGCACACTAAAAGGAGGCATGGGGTTAAGTAGAACAGCGATTTCCGCTACCGATTCAGACAAACCGGTCTGAACCGGCTGACTATCACCTCTGGTCGATACCTTTCAACAGGGAAGGCCATTTCATTCATGCTACTATTTGGATTTTTTTAAAAAACACAAAGCGGCGTCTTCCATTCCAAATCTTCACAGGCTTTGCTTTCTGCTTTATTATTATTATTATTATTTCCCAACCTTTATGGCTGTTGGGATGTAGCTGATCTTCTTTCCCTCCCTCTCCTCTGGAGGCGATGCAAAAGCCATCCATAACTGTCTATGGGATTCCTTGGCAGCTCAGGGCTAGGTGAATTAATAAGGCTCTATACAAGCTGAACTGGGGAAGGTGTCTATGCAAAAAAAAAGCAAAATGCCTTCAGGGCAGCTTCTTTTATTGTGACTCTAATTAAGCCCTTGCCAATTTGTGCCGGGCCATCTTCCTATTCTAGTTGAAAGCCCCATTAATATCCACGTGTTGCCGTTTCCATTTATCCAAGTTCTTTAAAATACGGTTTTAAAGAAGGAAAAGGAGGAGGAGGAGGAGAAAGAAGGGGAAGAAGAAGGGGAAGAAGAAGAAGAAGAAGAAGAAGAAGAAGAAGAAGAAGAAGAAGAAAGAAGAAGAAGAAGAAGAAGAAGAAGAAGAAGAGGAGAGGAGGAGGAGGAGGAGGAGGAGGAGGGAAGAAGAAGAAGAAGAAGAAGAAGAAGAAGAAGAAGAAGAAGAAGAAGAAGAAGAAGAAGAAGAAGAAGAAGAGCAGCAACTGAACAATTTCCGAGCTCAAGATTTCTTGATCATCTTCCTAACCATCTTCCTTTCTAAAGTGACAGGCCTCTTCTGTTGCTTATTTATATAACGGCGTCTCTTAAAAGGATAGCAACTTTCCTGGATGTTTGTTGGGAACCACGCTTGAATATTCCCCCCACCCACGCGATTCTATTTCTCTTTTCTTGTTAATGGAAAGCCGTTACGTGCGTCGTCTACTTTCTTGCATGAATAAAATGTTGGAGTGGAATGGAGGTGAGCCTTCCAAGTGGAAAGATGCCACTACGCTGAAGTCAAGCAAAGATTCCATTAGCTTAAAAAATAGTCTTGGTAAGTTCATACCAAGAACATGGTTTGGGGCAGTGGTGAAATCCAAATTTTTTTACTACCGGTTCTGTGGGCGTGGCTTGGTGGGCGTGGCAGGGGAAGGATACTGAAAAATCTCCATTCCCACCCCACTCCAGGGGAAGGATACTGCAAAATGCCCATTCCCTCCCCACTCCAGGGGAAGGATACTGCAAAATCTCCATTCCCTCCCCACTCTGGAGCCAGCCAGAGGTGGTATTTATCGGTTCTCCGAACTACTCAAAATTTCCGCTACCGGTTCTCTAGAACCTGTCAGAACCTGCTGGATTTCACCCCTGGTTTGGGGGCACCGTCACTTTACCATAATTGGAATTTTGTGTTGTCCTTTGCAAGAAAGGACCAGTTCTTCTGGGGTGGCCTCCTTGGAAGATAACGTCACCCCAGCCAAGATCGACGTGGACCCAGAAGGTAAGAAACACCTGCTATGGCCATTTAGCTTCCTGTAGGAACTGTATCTGGTAGCACAATATCTCCTTTCCACCTGCTATCGTCCATCCTCCTTGCTTTGTGCTCTACGGTGTGTGTTGATGTGAGCTGACATGGCTGGAGAGAGCTTCAGAAGCAGTGGTAGACCCCAAAGATGGTGCTAAGGAGTGGTGAGATTGTTCTTAGGATGTTTTGAGAAGAAGAAGAAAAAAAGTGTTTCCACAAAGGAAAGCAAAGTGATGTGTAGATTAGGAGCTGTTGACTCTCTTTGTGCCAGTGTTTGTGTTGCGCTGATAGGCATGGCTTCCGTGATAACAAGGGGACCTTAAATGCCTTGGGGGAAGATCAAATTGTCTTCATGCATGCAGGAAACATCCGGTTTGTTCTGGGTGGGGGATCAGCACGGCTCCCGTATAAACAGAGCTGTACAATGGTGTTGAAGTGCATCTCTCCAAACTTGACAACTTTTAAGACTCGTGGACTTCGACTCCCAGAATTCCTCTGTCAGCCATGCTTGGCTGGGCGGTTCTGGAAGTTGGAAGTCCATCAAGTTGACAAGTTTGAAGAGCCCTGACCTTGACAATATCATACCTCATTTCCAAGGTTCAGGTTTTCTTCCAGGAGGCTCATAGATCAAAAAGAGCCAATCGGGTGACCTCCAGAAGCTTTGAACACCAATCAGCTCCTGGTATGGCCCATGGCAAAAGATTGTGGGAGATGATGTTCAAAACATCTGGAGGGAACCAGCTTCCTCACTTATTACCCTGTTTCCCCCAAAATAAGACCCAACCGGAAAATAAGCCTAGCATGATTTTTCAAGATGCTCGTAATATAAACCTTACCCCCCAAAATAAGCCCCAGTTAAGATCGTCAACCAGACGGAGGCATTTAGTACTGTATTTCCCCCAAAATAAGACTTAACTGGAAAATAAGCCCTAATGCGTCTTTTGGAGCAAAAATTAATATAAGACCGGGTCTTATTTTGGGGGGAAACATCGTATCAGTTGCAAAATATACAAATTGGGTGATTTATGGGTATCCAAACCTCAGGGCATCAGTCAAAAACATGTTTGATGATTAACCCATTCATTCTCAAGATGTAGATACCGAAACAGACTGGCCTTCAACCATAAATGAGTGAACGAATCATCATCGCATGGATTCATACTGAGCCATAGACCAGGATGGGACCAGCTTCTCTGCTTGTCTGGTTTTAAAGAGGGCTAAACTAAAAAAAGTTTGAGGTTAACTCAATTTAATAGGCTTAGATGTCTTAGCTGTCTTAGATGACTGAGACGTCTTAGCAAGCAGTGAGGGGGTGAATCGCGGGCCAGATGTGAGGGTCCTGCGATGGTCAGAAGGACGAGGACCAGTTGTAACTCATTTTTTTTCAGTGCCGCTGTAATTTCCAAACAGACATTAAACAAATGGTTGTAAGTCAAAGACTACCTGGATTCAGGTAGATTGAGCTACCAGATTGGGATTGCAAATGTCCACTAGAGGGCAACAGGGAACTATGAAAAGATGCCCTCTAGTGGTTGATAGGAGTAGTGAAGGCTAGATCACAGACTTTTAAAAACTGAACGCCTCTATATTTAGACTTGTTCTATCTAACCTATCCTATCCCAGGTTTTCAACTCATGGGTGACAGAGAAGATGAGAAAAAAGGAGAAATATGGCTGCAACTCAGCCAGGTGTTCAAATTGCAGGCAAATATGCTTTATTTAGAAGCAATTTCACAAGGAGTCGTCTCCGAACACACTCCGAGTGATCCAAGGGCACACGTAATTGAGCACCTTGGCATCCTGGTTTGACACACTCAAACCTAATTAGACGATGCTTTGAATTTTTAACCGGCTTTCTCTCCTGCATGGAGCTCTTTCCCAAATCCCCCGGGGGTAGGCAGGTGGGTGGGTGGTTATGATAATGGCAGTCAGGGTCCCCCCAATTTTGGGGTGGGGGGGAAATGATGCTCTTCGAAGAACAGCTGCAGAGACTGGTGGCTGCGTCCTCTCCTCCCTCCCTCCCTTTAAATAAAATGCTAAATCAATGGAAGCCTTTCGAAACCGTTGTTAAGGGAAACTCCTAAAACTTCTCAGGTGAGAAACATCCAGGGTGATAAGAAGATTGATCTGGAGGAAGGGAAGGGAAGGGAAGGGAAGGGAATGGAATAGAAATTAGAAATTAGAAATGGAATGTAATAGAATAAAAATGGAATGGAATGGAATGGAATAGAATAGAATAGAATAGAAATTAGAAATGGAATGTAATATTTATTTATTTATTTATTTATTTATTTAATTTGTATACCGCCCTTCTCCAACAGGAATCAGGGCGGTGAACAGCCACGGTAAAAACACAACATATAAAATTTAAAAACAATTTTAAAAACATTAAATAATTTTGGCCATCAATTTAAAACAACCCAATTAAAACCAATTATAAATTTAAAACTGCAAGGATGGGGTCAAGCCAATAGAATAAAAATGGAATGGAATGGAATGGAATGGAATGGAATGGAATGGAATGGAATGGAATGGAATGGAATAGTATGGAATAATATGGAATAATATGGAATAGATTAGAATTAATCCTTGATTTATGATCTCAATTTAGCCCAAAATTTCCATTGCTAAGCAAGCCAATTAAGTGATTTTTCCCCATTTTATGACCTTTCTTATGACCTTTCTTTCTTGTTGCTAAGTGAATCACTGCAGTTGTTTAGTAACATGGTCGTTAAGCAAATCTGGCTACTCCGTTGACTTTGTTTCTGAGAAGGTCGCAAAAGGGGGATCATGTGACCTCGGGATGCTACAACCGTCACATGTACGAGCCAGTTACCAAGTGTCCGAATTTCGATCACGTGACCATGAGGAGGCTGCCACGGTCGTAAGTGTGAAAAAAATGTATAAATCGCTTTTGTTTTTCCCCCCGGTGCCGTTCGAACTTCGAATGGTCATTAAACGAATGGTTGCAAGTCGAGGACTATCTGACTTAATGGCCGCGTGTTCCACTTAACAACTGCAAGGCATTCCTTCAAAACCCCCTCCCCGCTGGCCAAAAAATGGTGGTTAAAATCAGGCGTGAGTCACTTAAAGAAACTGCTTTGTTTAGCGACAGAATCCTTGGTTCCAACTATGGTCGTAGCTCCAGGATGAACTGGGTCAGGTTTTCCATCCCTCTCCCAGCCTACTCAGGCCAGATTTGGGGGTTCAGGAGTCCAGCCAGAGGTGGGCACCACATGAATTAACAACATCAGGCTTTAAAAACGTTGGCTAAATAGAACGGCATCGCGACGGAGCGGGTGGAGGGGCCCACTCGCGAGTCACAAGAGAGAGCTGGAGGGGGAACTCCCCGTCTTTATCAGCTGCCGGGAGAAAGAGAGAGAGAGAGACACACACCGTTTCCAGCGCACAATTCTCTTTTTCCACCCACGCTCTCGGGCGAGCGCTGGCTGGCTGCTGACACTCGGCCGGGGCACGTGGTTTATGTGCTGTCTCATTCGGAGGTTTCAGAACAGGACTGCTGGCAGCGAGTCGCGGGGAAAAAAAAATAAAAGCTGTCAGGCCCTGATCAAAAAAAAAAGGATACCGAGGCCCAGCAGCGAGAATTATGTATGCACAAAACTGGAAAAGCGAAAGTACACAGTACCTATAAGATGAAAATGTAATCAGGAAAATACTGGACTGCGCCGAAATGGACAGGTTAACGATGGGAATCAAGGATAAGGAGGAAACAGGGTATTAACATGGGACTTATTTTATAAATGGTTAGAAAACAGAAGCAGAAGTTTAACGATGTATAGATAGATAGATAGATAGATAGATAGATAGATAGATAGATAGATAGATAGATGATATATAAGCATTATATAAGTGTTCTCGGCTTCGTGCTTCCAGGAGCAATGTGAAGAACATTGCCGAGAACACCAGCCTGAAGATGACAAATGAGACTTTGTTGAAACGTCGCCAAGACACTTCCAATTTTACATGGGAGAAGACCCGAATAACCAAAGACCTACATATATATATATATATATATATATATACACATAACATTATAAGCAGTATTAGTATTACTATTATTATTGGATTACATTTGATTACAGATTAAATTGTATAGAACGACTATAAGTGAAGATTATATTGTATATACCCGTGATGATGAATTTATGGCACGCATATTGGTAGGCATGCATGCGACTGTTGCCCTAGTTCAGCTCCAGTGGGACTAGAAAGGCCCTGGAGCCTGGGGAGAGCGAAAAACGGGCCTACTGGGCCCACCATGCTATCGTGTGCCAAAAGCACAGGGAATCATGCGCGCATGCAATGGGGGGCAGGGCGCATTGAATTATGGCTGTGGGCACATGCACGCACGGCTTCCCCCGCGCTCCCCCCATTTTTGGCACGCGACGGCAAAAAGGTTAGCCGTCACTGGTATATACTATGAGAAAAATGGCTATAATTAAGGGGTATAATATTACGTGTATTCAAAAGATATTTGATTCAGACAGTACACTGTCGTTGCAGAAATGGAAATGTGATGTATAACAAAAGAAAACGTATAATAAAAAATTGTGTGTGTGTGTGTGTGTATACTGAGGCAGAGATTGGCAGGCAAAGTACCGCAGCGATGCCCGAATAGCCTAGCATCCTTTCTTCTTTCCCTCCTGTGGATTGTATCTTGCAGCACACACCTGTTCTAAGGCTGCCAGGCACCAGAGGAACATCCAATTCTCCTCCTCGCTGCCTGATGTTTTCATTCCTTTTGATCTAAAGAGGCAACTCGAAACCACGATAGGATTTGCGAGCTGCTTGAGGTCCAGGGTGAGAGAGGAAGGCGCCTCTTGGGACCCTAGATCCGTGATGGCGAACCTATAGCACGCGTGCTCGAAGTGGCACATGGAGCCATGTCGCCTGGCACGTGTGGCGTCCCCCGTGCGTCTTCCGGGTTTCTGGCGGGCATGTGCACACGACGATCAGCTGGCTTTTTTGCATGTGGCAGTGCCGGAAACTACAGAGCTGGTCTTCTGTTTTCCTGCCGAGCATTTGCGCCGGCTAGCTGATCATTGTATGTACATGCGCGCCAGAAACCCGGAAGAGTAGCTGGCTGAAACCGGACTTTCAGTAGCTGAAGCACGAAGTTCATTTTCGGGTGGTCACATGCACCCTGGGCAGCTCCTCTTCCAGGTTGCGGCCCAGACGCTCGCGCGTGCTCCATCACTGCCCTAGATAATTTTGCCGTGGGGCTCAACGAGGGAAGAGAAGGAGGATGCAGGAGCCAGAAAGGCGGCCTTGCCAACTTCTCCATCGGCTCAATTTTCAAATTTAGAGGGTGGTCAAGAAGGAAAGGACCTTGAGGAGATACGGACCGAGCAGTGCACATGTCAGAATTCAGAGGGGAAGGAGGGAACTGTGGACGTGTCTTAAGCGGCTGGTCCTGCCCACAAGATGCCGAAGTTGGCATCTCTAGAGCCCGGCGTGTGCCAGAGCGAACTCTAATGGAATTACTGCAGTCAGAAAAACTGCTTCAGGTCGCAAATGTAAGGAAGGCAATGCCAGGGGAAGAGGACAGCTGGGGTCACCAGCTCTTGGCTGGTGTCTCTTCCCTCGCCCTGTGCCAGCAGCGTACTTAACAGAATCACAGAGTGGGAAGGGACCTCGGAGGTCTTCTAGTCCAACCCCCTGCTTAAAAGCAAGAGATCCCACACCATTTCAGACAAAGCTTTCCAATCTCTTCTTAAAAGCCTCCTTCTTTCATTGAATAAATCTCCTGTTTTCCAAACGTCTCCAAAATCGGGTTTTTCCACCTCAAATGTACAGGCAGTCCTCAAATTACAACCACTCGTTTAGTGACCGTTCGAAGTTGCAATGGCACTGGGGAAAAAAAAAAGTGGCTGTCCTCACACTTACAACTTTCCCGGCACCCCCACGGTCCCGTGATCGAAACTTGGACGCTAGCCAACCAGTCGCTGTGTCTCCTCGACGGTTGCTGTGTTTTTCACACTTAATGACCGTTGCAGCATCCACACAGTCACGTGATCAAAATTCAGACGCTTGGCCCCTGACCCGGATTTATGATGGTTGCAGCATCCCAGGGTCATGTGATCAGCATTTGTGATCTTCTGACCAAGTCCTTGGGGGGGGGGGCTGTCGGATTTGCTTAATGGCCATCCGATTCACTTAACAACTGAAGGACCACCTTTATCTATTCGTTTAGCACAATGATTTTCATACAGATAGTCCTCGACTTACAACAGCTCATTGAGGGACCGCCCACAGTTACGTCGCTGAAATAAGGGACTTATGACCATTTTTCCCACTTATGGCCCTTCCCACCATTCTAAAGATTCTTAGCCAAGAGCAGAGAAAAGAGATGTCCCCCCAATTAATTAATTAATAATTTAATTATTATTAATTATAAATAATAATTAAAAGGAGGAACCCCCGATTTGACAATAGCTTGTGTTTGTGGACAAGGGAAAGGGGGCGAGAGAGAAAAAAGAGATCTGTTTTGGGTGGGTTTTTTTTTTTCCTTCTTTAACGTTATTCTCAAGTTTTGCCCGAGACTTCCAGAGGCATCGAGGTCAAACCTGAATCGGATGTCCGGATCTCTATTGAAACGTTTCCAGGTAAGACTTAAGGACAGGTAGGGCAGCCAATGTGTTGAAATGGAAAACCTGCCATGTGTCCAGAGAAAGTGGAACTGTACGGTCACCTTCGCCGACTATTTTGATTTCTCTGACGTAATAAAGTCTTGACGGGTGAGTGGCGCTCGTGGCCCAGAGGTGGAGCGCTCGCCTCTCAATCAGGAGGCTGTGAGTTCGATCCTAGGTAGATATCTGGCGGCAGATATTTCCCTCTCTGGGTACAATGAGAATATATCTGCTGAACAAAACTCCTCATTGGCAACAGGAAGGGCATCCGGCCAGAAAAAAAAACTCAGCTCCATTCAGTTGCCCAGACTCCACACAAGGGATTATGGGGTCGTTAAAAGAGGACGATTAAAGTCCGATGGTTGATGGAGTTCATTGGAGCTCTGTTTCTTGTTTGTCGTAAACTAGCATGTCCTGCCTTAACGTGTCACGTGTTCCCTGAAAGTCTGGGTGAAGAACGTGAGGGTTTAATCATCCTCGACCTCACCTGAGTTTTGAGGGAACCTGGTTTAATTCTCCTCTCATTTTTCCCATCTCAAGAAGACCCACGGCGTGGTCATTGGGTAGGGAGGGGAAGGACTCCTTATTTCCACACAGTCTTCCTCAAGTCAAGGCAAGGCGTGGCCTTCTGGCTGCGTGCTCCCTCAAAGGTCTCCCAGACGTGTCTTCTCCTCCTGCCTTGCTTCTTTCATCTTTCCGCGAGGTTCTCAACCAAGCTATGGGTGAAAGAAAACCACCCAACGGAATGCAGAGATGGGCTTCTCCGCAGCACGGTTCTAGAAGCTCCGGAAACTTTGTTTGATTTCTCAACTAGCTTTCACGCCACCTGATGAATCAGACCATGTTCTTTCTCTCTCTTTTTTTCCCCTCTCCCTGCGGCCAGACTGTGAATGTTACGGACACTCCAATCGGTGCAGCTTCATCGATTTCCTGAACTTGGTGACTTGCATTAGTTGCAAGCATAACACCCGGGGACAGCACTGCCAGTATTGTCGGCTTGGCTACTTCCGAAATAGCTCGGCCGAGCTGGACGATGAGAACGTGTGTGTAGGTGAGTAGAAGGCGTGGAAGGCGCCAGAGCTGAAGGAGCTTTCTCGGATGAGAAGCGAAACGTCTTCAAAGAAAACAAACAAAAACAAACAAAACAGAAAGTAGAGTTGCCTCTTGGAAAAGAATAGAAGCCACCAGGGTAGCTTCAGATCCATTTGGTTGACTTCTGATTGCATGAACAATCAATCAAACAAACAAACAATCAGAATAGAGTTGGAAACGACCTTGGAGGACTTCTAGTCTGGTCTAGCAGGAGATCTTGTACTGTTTCAGACAGGTAACTGTCCAGTATCTTCTTAAAAACCTCCAGTGATGAAGCACCCACAACTTCTGGTGGCAAGCTGTTCCACTGGTTAATTGTCCTCACTGTTAGGAAGTTTCTCCTTAATTCCAGGTTGCTTCTCTCCTTGGGTAGTTTCCGTGGTGCAGGAGGCCAACTAGGCCACGCCCACCTAGGCCACACCAGAACCCGGTTGCTAAAATTTTGGAAGCCCAACCCGTGAAGAGGTCCATATGCACAGGATTTCCAGAGTTGCTCCCAGTCTCATCACCATCGTCAGAATTAGGGATGACTTCCGAGGTTTTCCCACCGTAGATCTGACTTGGCTGGTCCGTTGTTTCTTCCAGATTGCAACTGCAACCGAGTTGGCTCGCTGGCTAACCGTTGCAATGAGACCGGCTATTGCGAATGCAAAGATGCGGGCGTGACAGGGCCGAAATGCGACGATTGTCTGCCCGGCTACTACTGGAGGCAAGGTTGCTTACGTAAGTTATGTTTCCCCTTTCTGAATGGAGGTGTGGGAGTTGATTGGCTGTCCTGAATCCAGTCTGATTGAACCAGGGACAGCCTTTCTCAAGCTTGGTGACTTTTAAGACCTGTGGACTTCAGCTCCCAGAATTCCCCAGCCAGCAGGCTTTTAAGATGAGTGGAATTCTGGGAGTTGAAGTCCATACATCCTAAAGCAAGCTGGCTGGGGAATTCTGGGAGTTGAGGTTCACACACGTTAAAAGAAGCTGGCTGGGGAATTCTGGGAGTTGGGGTTCCCACATGTTAAAAGCTGGTGGCTAGGGAATTCTGGGAGTTGGGGATCATACACATTAAAGTAAGCTGGCTGGGGAATTCTGGGAGTTGGGGTTCACACACGTTAAAAGAAGCTGGCTAGGGAATTCTGGGAGTTGGGGTTCACACACGTTAAAAGAAGCTGGCTGGGGAATTCTGGGAGTTGAAGTCTACTCATCTTAAAACATACTGCCTAGGGAATTCTGAGACTGCAAGTCCAAGCATCTTAAAGCAAGTTGGCTGGGGAATTCTGGGACTTGAAGTCCACTCATCTTAAAGTCACCAAGGTTGAGAGGCATTGTCTTTGAATCCATCCAATACCGTCTCTCATTCCTGACTCAACATGACTCAGTTCTGCAAATCTAACTGCCCTTTCGGAAGCCCTCAAACCTCGCTGGCAAAACCTTTATTGCCTGCCCGCTTTGAATTTTAATTTGGGGGAGCAACCCCACCCCCCCAACCTCCCTCCCCACCCTGGCTTCCGACTCCTAGCACTTCCAACGCCTCCCTCTCTCTCCACAGCGAACGTCTGCGACGACGAACTCCTGATTTGCCAAAACGGAGGCACGTGTTACGAGAACCAGCGGTGTCTCTGCCCGCCGGGTACCAAGGGCATCCTGTGCGAACAAACCAAGTGCGAAGGGGAGGACACAGAGTGCGACTCGGTCTCCAGGACGTATCTCAGCCTTTCAGTTTTCTTGGCCAGCGTGGTGAGCCTACACATGCAACAACTCTTGGACCTCTGAAGGAGGAGGAGGAAGGTGCTCCATCAAAATCCCACGCAAAGGCTCGAGCGGAAGCGAGAAAGGATTGGGACAGCCCGAAAATGTTGCGAGCTCAGAAAAAAAAAAAACCATCCTCCAGCCGGAGCTGGTGTCTCTTGGTCCTTGTTGGCCAAGCGTTGAAGGATTCAACAGAAGTTCCTGCTCCTCACAGAGATCTTTGGTTGGACATCAGTTGAAGGAACATACAGAGATACCTGTTATGGGGTCCACCAAGCCAGGAAAGGACACCTCAAGAGGACTTGGGGGGAAATTGTAAAGTGTTTGCAATTTTTCCAACTATCTTCCCGAGGGGGAAATTGTCCAGAGCTCTCCTTTGCACAGGGGTAGCTTCCCCCCCCCAAAAAAAGGGGGAGGGTTCGGGGGCAAAATGTCTTCGATTATCTTGCATTTATGTTGCACTGCTCTTTCCCTTCCAAATTCTCTTCTTCCTTCCAGCCCAGTTTTTTTAGGAAGATGTTTAGGAAATCGGCTAAATGGAGGCTGGCAGGTACAAAATTGGAGAAGAAGGAACTTTAGGGGGGGGGCTTATTTTGCTCAGGCCTCCAAGGATAACGTGGCCTAAAAGAAATCAAGTTGCTGAATTTATTAAGTTTTCCTTTTTTTTTTTCTTTTTCTATTTGGACTTGTTTTCCGTTTTTTACTCTTTGGTTAAGTCTTCAGCTTTCAACACTGGTTTTTTATTACGCCAAAAATACATCACACTCCTCCGGGCTTTGCCGAACAGATTGCCATTCAATTCTTTTCTTCTTCTTTTTTTCTTTCTTTTTGGTAGAGAATTATATTTGTTGGAATGATCAAGAGTGGGGGAAGGGGAGATTTAAAAAAAAAAACTATCAGGTGAACTACTACAGCCTTTAGAGAGAGAGAAAAAAAAACATTTTACCTGAAATATTATGGTGTTATAATCCATTACATAAAAGCAACTTATTAATTGCTGTTAGATCTCGGATTAATTTGTCTCTTCCAGCTTTGCAGACTTAACGCGTTGGTTTGGTGGGCATCGTTCCAAAAAGATTGTGAAAAGGACAAGCAATTGGCACTTCGCATTTCCTGATGCCAAAGATGGAATTAGGGGTTTGTTGAGAGTTTGCACGTAAACAGACTAGCTTTTCTCATTATTATTATTATTATTTTTAATTTGATTTATATGCCGCCCTTTTCCAGAGACTCAGGGCGGCTTACAATGCGCTAAGCAATAGCCTTCATCCTTTTGTATATTTATACAAAGTCAGATTATTGCCCCCACAAACTGGGTCCTCAATTTACCTACCTTAGAAAGGATGGAAGGCGGAGTCAACCTTGAGCCTTGGCGAGATTCAAACCTGCAGTAATTGCAGGCAGCTGGTCTTAATAACAGGGTGCTTTAGACCACTGTACTACCAAGGCCCTTTATGATGGTTAGGTGCTCCTAGTTTTTAAACCAGTTTTTAAGCCTCCAGGGCTGGGCTGTTGGGGGTTCAGGAGAAACTCTAGCTAACATTCTGTGCAGTTCGGAGAACTCCCAAATCCCACTCCTGACTGGCCCCGCCCACCCTGCCACGCCCCTCCCAGGAGTCCTGACAAGGCCCGTTTTGGATGCAGGTAAGTGCAGGGCGCGCCCTGAGGCTCGGGGAGGGCAAAAAACGGTCCTACTGGAAGTTCAAGAAGGGCCTCCGGAGCCTGGGGAGTCTGTTTTCACCATCCCGGAGAAAACAGAGAAAAGCCTCCGGAGCCTGGGGAGGGCGAACCCCGTGGCCACACCCACCATGGCCACGCCCACCCTGCAACCCTCTTTTGAGTTGCGAGAGGAGAACTCCTTCAGACTGGTTGATTTTCGATAGGAAGGCAACGAATGCACAAAGGATGATCAAGTTGGCTAGGACTGAAGCAAGGGTCGGCATCTTTTCAGGATTTGAACCTCATCCCCTGATACTGTCGTCGGATAAGAGCTGAATAAAAGGGAAGAATGGGGGTGGGTGGGAAATGGCTTAAATCTATAGCATGCAGAATAACAGAGTTGGGAGGGACTCTGGAGGTCTTCCAGTCCAACCCCCTGTTCAAGCAAGAGACTCTATACCAGTGGTGGCGAACCTTTTACTCACCGAGTGCCGAACAGGTACATGCTTTGCGCGCTTAAATAAAGATATAAATAAACAGAAATAGAGATGGAAGACATGATCTAGAAGGTTCCTGAAGCTGCATTTACGAAGGTTCTCAAAGTTATCCACAACTTCCAACCGTCTCTGGTTGGCTTCAGGGTCTACCAAGGTATTTATAACTCCCCAGAAATGGATTCTGATGGGGTTGACTTCCTACTCTAAAATGCAAAGGTTCCCCTTGAATATATGTGCTAGTTATTCCTGACTCTAGGGGGCGGTGCTCATCTCCATTTCAAAGCCGAAGAGCCAGCGCTGTCCGAAGACGTTCTCCGTGGTCATGTGGCCGGCATGACTCAACGCCAAAGGCGCATGGAACGTTGTTCCCTTCCCACCAAAGGTGGTCCCTATTTTTCTACTTGCATTTTTTTTAACGTGCTTTCGAACTGCTAGGTTGGCAGAAGCTGGGACAAAGAACGGGAGCTCACCCCGTTACGCGGCACTAGGGATTCGAACCGCTGAACTGCCGACCTTTTGATTGATAAGCTCAGAGACTTAGCCACTGAGCCACTGCGTCCCTTGAATGGGAACTCAAGGTCCCTTAGTGGGAAGGCACCCTTCCCACTCTAGGAACACAGAAAAATTAGCTTTGGAGGCCTCAAAAGTAGATCTATTGAGTCTCTTAATCTACTCAGCTTTATGAAGCCAACTAAGTCAAATTGATAAGAGAGCATCCAGTCTGATGGCACCAGATCAACTGGATTCTGCATGCTTACCCATGTTCGTTCCTCATCGCGTCGAGCAGCCAGATCTGAGAGATTCCATTTCCTGAACCAAATCAGGAGCCAAGATCTCGCGGCCAATTGCAGCAACGATGCTGAAAGGATCCTGGGGAAATGAGCTATGAAGTCCTTCCCATGGGAAATTCCATCCAGGATCTGGAAAATGCAGAAAGTAGGGAAGCTATTTGCCCAGGATACAATAGCTGCTCTTCTGGAAGATTTCAGAAGAGATCAGCAAGGATTCTCTTTATCAAATTTTCTTCTCGGGGTGTCAATTAAGCTAAGCCACCCCACCCCAATGCACAGAGGGAAAAACCCCAAGTGACCCACATTCAACATAGATTTATGGAGATTCTCAATCATCCAGATCATAGTTGTCCCAAAAGTGGGTTTTTTTTTTCAAAAGGCAACTGGGCTTTCTTTGTTTTTCCTTGAAGACTTTTCCCTTCTCATCCAAGAAGCTTCTTCAGTTCTGACTGAATGGCGGGGAATGGAAGGATTGATATTCCTTCCTTCCTAGTCGTAAGGGCTCTTTCTGAGAGTCGTTGAGGCCAGCTGGAGGGTTTAAACTGTACCCTCGGTGTCACCTGAATAGTGCAAATGGGTGTGGAGCAGCAGTGAAATCCTACGCGAACCGGTAGTAAAAAAAAAAGCTACCGGATCCTTCGAACCGGTATTTCCGGCGATCAGCTGTGCTGCGCGATTTAGAATTGCTATAAAGCAGGAAATCCTGCCTTCTAGTTAATCTAAATCGCGCAGCATAGCTGTTCCCCCCCTTTGCTGTTCTATTTACCTTCCTGAGCCTTTTTCCGCGCAAAGCGTGCGTTTGGTGTGTACTGTGCATGCGAGGGCCGCGAACTGGTGGCAAACCAGGGAAGATTTCACCACTGATGTGGAGCCTTCTTGCAACTGCTGAAAAGGACTGTGTCGTGAATAGGAGATACCTTGTTTTCCCCAAAAATAAGCCCTCCCTGGATAATAAGCCCAATCGGGCTTTTGAGCACATGCGCTAAAATAAGCCTTCCTCCGAAAATAAGCCCTCCCCGAAAATATTTAAACGCATGCACAGCCCGTCCCCTCCAATTCCTCTGGTTACGATTAGGGAGACAGAGCTGGAAATCAGGTAAGATGGTCTTGCTCCATGCGCCCCAAAATAATAAAGACCTCCTCGAAAATAAGGCCAAGCGCTTATTTCGGGGTTCAAAAAAATATAAGACAGGGTCCTATTTTTGGAGAAACACAGTAGGTGGAAGACAAACCCATCTTCATTTGATAGACACAGGCCATTCTTGAAGACAGCAAAGCCCACATCCTGGACAGAGAGGGATGCTGGTTTGAAAGAGGGACAACTCTGTTAAAATTGAACAGCCCTCTCTCAACAAAGGGGGAAGGATACGACACCCCCCCATCTCCCGTTTACAACACAATCTTTTCACAGCAGTTCCAAGAAAGTTCCGCATCCATATTGCATTATTCAGTGGCCTCAACGACTCTCAGAAAGAGTGCTAACGACCAGAGGACTGTAAAGGAATACCAATCCTTCTATCCTCCGTCGTTCAGTCAGAACTGAAAAAGCTTCTTGGATGAGAAGGGAAACGTCTTCAAGCAAAAACAAAGTCCAGCGGCCTTTTGGGGGGGGGAAACGCTTTGGGGACTCCAGATCTATAGGAGCTGCTCCATTTGCTGTGCCGAGGACGGGGATCTAGGTGTAATCAGAGAACTATTAAGGTGTTTTTGTTCGGAGGGGGAAAAATTGGCTCACGGTAACTAACTCACTTGCTTCTACGCAACAGAGCCCTGATCCAAAACCCTGGAAAAATCGCACGTAATTTGCTCTCTCTCTTAATTCACAAGTCCTTAACTCACCTTTCGAAAGCACGAATCAGAAAAAGCCAAGTGTATTTTGAAAATACAACCTGAATTATTTATTAAGGGGGAAAAAAGAGGGGGTGGAAGAGCTTTTAAAAAGGTCTATTTTAATGTATTTACATTTAGGTTATTCATAACAGAAGGGCATATAGATATATAGATGGATATATATGTATTGATATTTATAAACACAAACGTTTTTTTTTAATCAAATCAAGTGAAAATGCCCAGGGTTGAGTGGCAGTGAGAATTAAGTAGCATTTTCCCTCCCTGTACTTGGGACCCTCCCCAAATGTTGAGACGGAAAGACGCCGGGGAAAAGTTGATTACAAACTGCCAAATTGGAAGATTTTAATAAAAGATCAGATTTACCGCAGAGTAGTGGGCAAAGCAGAGAGAGGGACTCCCCTCCCCCTTTCCCAATCCAGTTGAGAAGGTAACCCAAATCTTTCCATATCTTTGCAAAAAACAAAAACAAAAAAAACCCAGAGGCACTTTGATCAGAAAACAGGCGAGGGAGGTGATGAGAATTTTGCAGAATCTCTCAACGAATGGAGACGGGAAGTTATTTTGTTATTTGCGCAAAAAGGTCTTTCCGGCTGACGTCGCTACAGCAATTCCCCACCTCCCACCCCCGTAAGGCACCCGGAATTGAGCAGGGCAAAGTTCCTTCCTTAAAACCCTGTTGTGTTGTGTTGTGTTGTGTACCCCGAAGAGTCAGCGATGAAATAAAAGCAGGATTCCAGGCTTTGGGATAGGAGGGCTTCTTGAAGTTGGGAAGGGTTCCCACACATACCAGCACAGTGACTGAGAAAAGTCCTCGATCGATGGACGGCTGCACGGTTAAATAGGACACTATACACATGGAAGCATTTAATGGGCACTTTCAGCTCCCTCGCTTCTAAAAAATAAAGCTTTCTTTGCTATACAAATGTACATGGCCCTTAAGGCTTACAGAGTTTGGGGTTCTTTTAATATATGGCTCTGTTTGAAGGCGCTTCTGCCTCGTGTCGGTATATTTATGCATACAGACCCAGGCGTGCAAAGAGTCAGTCAGTCTCTCTCTTTCTCTCTCAAGTCTTACAGGCAAGAGGTGATGGGAAGACTCGAATACAAGACACCTGCCAAGGAAGGAGGGGGTCTTTGGGGAGGTCAGAAAGTGGTGCGTCTCTTCTTGGGTTCGGTAGAGTCGTCCTTCTCCCGGGACACC